GTTTTTAATTTTCTTATATATTTGAAAAAATCGCCCTTTGAAATCATGGAAATTACATAACTGTTATGAAAATCATATTGTTAGTTTTGAAAATATCGAATGTCCTTCAAAAAGAGGATTCTTTCAAACGTCGCTGATTTTCGCCCGCTAGGCGTGTGAGTAAAGCTCGACCTGTGAGCCGTACATAATATGAAAATAATTTTCCTAACTGAACAAGAAAATCTTTATTCTTTGTACGTAGACTGAGTATCTTTATGCAAAATAGAAATTGTCCACGTTAATTATAAAATATGTAATTTAGATTAAAATGTTTTCTCTCTTCGAATAACAGCAATAAGTTAAAAATAACATACCAATATCCTCAAAATTTCTCCTAATGTTTTCACAATTTTGTATTCGATCAATTCATTATCTCTGCCATAAATGCACAAAATCCGCGGTCTACGTGTTCATCTGCATTTAATTTAATTCCTGGTAGATTCTAGTAGATTCAGAGTCTTTGTTACGCGGGATGGGATTAACATATTGCAAACAACGTGCTGCAGAATTCTAGCAGAGATTTCGGTAGATAGGTAGAATAATGTGATCCGCAGAGCGTCTCGTTGCCAGGTGGCCCCGGAGTTAGTCGAACCGCGAAAGTTCACCGTGGTGGGATCGCGAAAGTCCGCCGCCGGTCGTTGCGGCACAATGACATTTATGACGAATCGTTACACTAATGACATTCGCGGAGCACCGGCGGACAATCGTGACTAATTGTTATTGTTTCTTGTTGCGGGGGCCGCGAGCGCAGCTACCGCGCGGCTTATGTCCACCGATATGATATAACGCGTTGTTTATCGCGCGGTTGGAAGTGGTGGATGCTGGAAACGGTGGTTGCCGCGGCGGCAACGCTGCCGTTGGTGGTGACGGGGGTGGGTGTTTGATAGAGAGAGAGCGAGAGAGAGAGAGAGAGAGAGAGAGAGGGAGAGGGACGGGGGCTCCCAGCGAATTGTAAAGATTACGCCCGATGTTTATGCATTTATGCTGAATTATTGTCGGCGGGACTTTACCGATGTTTATGCTGATTTACGCTTTGTGCTATCTGCCGGGACACATTGTCCCGGAATTATTATTCCGCTGCGTCACTCTCGCCGCGAGAAACCCAAATTTCGGATTTCGTTCGCCAGTCGGAAAATTTTGACTACACCCTCCCCAGCTCCACATTCCGCCGCCGCAATTTCACCTGGCGAAATCATTGAACGCTCGTCGGATTCGATTGATTTTTCTAGAAATATTTATACGGAATCTCTCGCGTTTGTTTAAACCGTTCGTCGAGATTTTTACCTGATTTTCGATCGTTTAGCGAGCCTCTTCTGCAAATTTCTTTATAACGTATTTTATTGGATTTCTTTAAGGATTGCGCAAACGTATATTTAGCAAAGTGTACAATTGTTGTAATAATTGGTGTCTCGTTCCTTACCTCGAGCCCCGATCGAAATTTACAACGATTATGCATGGTTAATTCTAATTTAAATTCCAATGAGTGGCCACTTCCGGTAGACGTTAACAGAGGTCAACGCGAATATTCTATATTCGAGCGTCGAGCACAATGACAACGATGCAGCGAGTCCATACTTATAACGCAACATGACATCATGCATATTCAATGAAGCTTTATACGCTTAACAAAATTGTTCACGATTTATGTACGGTCTTCCGGTTTACCCAAAATCAACATTGCCGAAATCGTAACTGGAAGCTTGCGCTCTTGTCGAGAACGAAAATTGCGCCTACCAAAAGAATCCGTATGAAGCAATTCAATGTGATCAGCGAGGTAAAGGCGTGCGGAACAATCTTCCCTGTTGAAACGATGTTGCTGCAGAAGGAGTCAAGAAGAATTAAATTAAATTAAACACGCAAGGGGGTCCGACCAAGTTGACTTTCCATGATCGACGTGCGCGACCCAACGCGACGACAAACACGCTTCTGATATTCTTCTTTCTGGCCATTATGGCCAAATCTTTTTATATTTATTTATAATTTATCAGATATATTTATTATATTATATTATATTTATTATATTATATTATTATTTTTTACTGGCGCGTACCTTGACCACGTTGAAGTTCACCATTTCCTACGTTATCCGATTTCCGTCGGCCTCATCAGAAATATGTGTGCATCAACAATGGCGGACTCCTTCAGAAGACAAAATAGATCAAATTCAGAAATAGTGAGCTAACTATCAATCTAGTTATTGGGCGCGTCGTGTGAATATTTGTCCGGTGTCGGTGCTGCAAAATCGGTTCGGTAGAGTGCTCGAAATAATTCGTGTGCAGCCCATTGTGGAGCGGTTTCCGGGCGGATTCCCCGCGCGGCGAGTCGGTTAGGAAAAAGAGTTCCCGGGCGTCTCTTTCGCTTTCTTTTATCTACGCGAGGCGAAGCATAAATAAGGACTGCGTTTGTGCGCCTCTTGGATACATAATGGAGTATTATGTGACGGAGATACCACGCGGCTCTGACTCTTCTCTCTTCGCCCCGCTCTTTCAGCAGCCCTGCAGAGCCCCCAGCCCGGGGTGTGTGTACAAGATATTTACTACAAATACCCATGGTGGCCCCGTATCGTGTTCTAGCACCATGATAATACGTCCCTTTGTACGGATAACGGTGTCGAGAGCAAAGTTTACTGAATTCTGAAGTGTCTCGTCGCGCGATTCTTCGCGTGATAACGCGCGCCCCTGGATTATCGAAGGTAGATACCGCGTTCCGTGCATTGTCTAAGAATAAAAAGGAAGAAGAAGACTCTCTCTCCTGTGCATGGTCTCTCGCCTTGGAACGGCCGTTCTATTTCGCCGGGCCGAGATCTCGCCGGAAATTCTCGTTTGTTCTCTTCACTTGTTGATGCCGAACGAATAATTTTCCAATTAATGGTTATTTATTATGCACTTCATGAGCGCGCATTGTCGGCGATTAAACGGTGCTTGGATTATGCTCGCGACCCCTCGGAAAACTATTGCCGCACCCCGTCGTGAAACTACTCGATTAGGCCACCCCTGTTACGTTCGAGCGCGAACTACCCTCCCGACGATCGCCGATCCTGCGATTTGCGGCAGCGAGTGATGAAATTGTTGGGCGAAAAATTAAGATAATATTACTCACGGATATGCAAATTGTTTGTCGATGCAAGCTGCAAGCATTTTCCTTGTTCCGCTGATATCGTATCTTTCTAAATCTCTAAATAAATAGTTTTATGTAGAACATTTAAATGAAATATTCTCATGAATCTTTTTGTACAGACTTCGACTACCTCGAAAACCGTCTATGAACACAGAAATACTTTATGATGTTCTAAATAATCTTAGTTAGCTGGAAAATAAACACTTGCTATTGCTATACCATTGGCGTACGAATTAAACGAGATATATGAAAGTTCTTCGATAGTCTTAAACAAATGATAACTTGAAAAGTAAACGGTACAA